CTTCAAGCTTCGAGCAACTCCTACGGGTTGAATGACGTGAAAACAAATAGAAAGCAACGTTGGGCATGGATACGTTGTTGAACCTTAAGGTGCTGCCAAACCTTTACATCTTTAATCCTGATCGAAATCGAGAAGCGCAGTCGCGGCTTGGCGCAGACGCGGCCAAGACGATGTGGATGCATTGGAAGATGTCTGAGCGGGCAGCGCCTGCGGTGTGTTGCCGTCGTTGCCGTTTACGATCGCGGGGGACTTTGTTGACTTCAAGCTTCGAGCAATCCCTACGGGTTGAATGACGTGAAAACAAATAGAAAGCAACGTTGGGCATGGATACGTTGTTGAACCTTAAGGTGCTGCCAAACGTTTACATCTTTAATCCTGATCGAAATCGAGAAGCGCGGTCGCGGCTTGGCGCAGACGCGGCCAAGACGATGTGGATGCATTGGAAGATGTCTTAGCGGGCAGCGCTTGCGCTGTGTTGCCGTCGTTGCCGTTTACGATCGCGGGGGACTTGGTTGACTTCAAGCTTCGAGCAACTCCTACGGGTTGAATGACGTGAAAACAAATAGAAAGCAACGTTGGGCATGGATACGTTGTTGAACCTTAAGGTGCTGCCAAACCTTTACATCTTTAATCCTGATCGAAATCGAGAAGCGCAGTCGCGGCTTGGCGCAGACGCGGCCAAGACGATGTGGATGCATTGGAAGATGTCTGAGCGGGCAGCGCCTGCGGTGTGTTGCCGTCGTTGCCGTTTACGATCGCGGGGGACTTTGTTGACTTCAAGCTTCGAGCAATCCCTACGGGTTGAATGACGTGAAAACAAATAGAAAGCAACGTTGGGCATGGATACGTTGTTGAACCTTAAGGTGCTGCCAAACCTTTACATCTTTAATCCTGATCGAAATCGAGAAGCGCGGTCGCGGCTTGGCGCAGACGCGGCCAAGACGATGTGGATGCATTGGAAGATGTCTTAGCGGGCAGCGCTTGCGCTGTGTTGCCGTCGTTGCCGTTTACGATCGCGGGGGACTTGGTTGACTTCAAGCTTCGAGCAACTCCTACGGGTTGAATGACGTGAAAACAAATAGAAAGCAACGTTGGGCATGGATACGTTGTTGAACCTTAAGGTGCTGCCAAACGTTTACATCTTTAATCCTGATCGAAATCGAGAAGCGCGGTCGCGGCTTGGCGCAGACGCGGCCAAGACGATGTGGATGCATTGGAAGATGTCTGAGCGGGCAGCGCTTGCGGCGTGTTGCCGTCGTTGCCGTTTACGATCGCGGGGGACTTGGTTGACTTCAAGCTTCGAGTAACTCCTACGGGTTGAATGACGTGAAAACAAATAGAAAGCAACGTTGGGCCCGGATACGTTGTTGAACCTTAAGGTGCTGCCAAACCTTTAAATCTTTAATCCTGATCGAGATCGAGAAGCGCGGTCGCGGCTTGGCGCAGACGCGGCCAAGGCGATGTGGATGCATTGGAAGATGTCGGAGTGTTCAGCGCTTGCGGTGTGTTGCCGTCGTTGCCTTTTACGATCACGGGGGACTTGGTTGACTTCAAGCTTCGAGCAACTCCTACGGGTTGAATGACGTGAAAACAAATAGAAAGCAACGTTGGGCCCGGATACGTTGTTGAACCTTAAGGTGCTGCCAAACCTTTAAATCTTTAATCCTGATCGAGATCGAGAAGCGCGGTCGCGGCTTGGCGCAGACGCGGCCAAGGCGATGTGGATGCTGTGGAAAATGTCTGAGTGGGCAGCGCTTGTGGTGTGTTGCCGTCGTTGCCTTTTACGATCGCGGGGGACTTGGTTGACTTCAAGCTTCGAGCAACTCCTACGGCTTGAATGACGTGAAAACAAATAGAAAGCAATGTTGGGCCCGGATACGTTGTTGAACCTTAAGGTGCTGCCAAACCTTTAAATCTTTAATCCTGATCGAGATCGAGAAGCGCGGTCGCGGCTTGGCGCAGACGCGGCCAAGGCGATGTGGATGCTGTGGAAAATGTCTGAGTGGGCAGCGCTTGCGGCGTGTTGCCGTCGTTGCCTTTTACGATCGCGGGGGACTTGGTTGACTTCAAGCTTCGAGCAACTCCTACGGCTTGAATGACGTGAAAACAAATAGAAAGCAATGTTGGGCCCGGATACGTTGTTGAACCTTAAGGTGCTGCCAAACCTTTAAATTTTTAATCCTGATCGAGATCGAGAAGCGCGGTCGCGGCTTGGCGCAGACGCGGCCAAGGCGATGTGGATGCTGTGGAAAATGTCTGAGCGGGCAGCTCTTCACTTGCGACGTAGCACGGACGTTGTCGTTGGCATGCCAAGGCGGATCGGCGCGCACCCTTTAGGTGTTGCATGCTCCCAATACTGTGCTGATGATTGTAAATAAAGGGGTTCGCCTGGACTTATTTAATACTTCAAGAACTTACTTCATTGGATAGTGTCGATGAATGTAAACAGACAGGTTTGCTTTGATACGTTTAGGCTTTCAAGTCCTTCACTTCATTAAGCAGTGTTCGCGACTGTAAACAAAAAAGTCTGCCTGGCCTTCGATTACTTCAATTAATTGAATAGTGTTTATGAATGTAAACAGAGAGGTTAACCTGAACTCATTTAAAGCTTACGGACTTAATAAAATATTGATGAATGGGAACAGAGAAGTTAGCCTGGACGCATTTAACATTCCAAGAACTTCGCTTCAACAGAGAGCTTAACCTGGACGCAAATAAAATTATAAGAACTTCATTGCATACAGATGAATGTAAACAGATGTGTTAGTCTGGAATCATTTAACACTTCAAGAAGTTAATAAAATATTTAGGAATGTGAACACAGAAGTTAGTCTGGACGCATTTAACATTCCAAGAACTTCGCTTCAGCAGAGAGCTTAACCTGGACGCAAATAAAACTACAAGAACTTCATTGCATACAGATGAATGTAAACAGAGAAGTTAGCCTGGACGCAATGAAAACTGCAAGAACTTCATTGCACATAGATGAATGTAAGCAGAAAGGTTAGCCTGGACTCACTTAACACTGCAAGAATCTCACGCGTTTTGCAGGACTATGAAGACGAGCAAGAGACGTAAGTAAGGACAGAACGAGCGGGTTGGTAGGGACAATTAAACTCCGTCCCTTGTCGTTTTCCTCCTCAAGTTTGATTAAAGACGTGAATAGTCGACGACGCAACTTTACTGAGTCAGAAGCCATTGCCTTTTCTCAGTGGTGGAGGCCAGCCCTTTTTGCAAAGCTTGCTGACATGATCGTTTGGATCATTACAAAATGTACGATATCTAATAATGTTAATTCTCTAGTAACTCAGCGTTTGGTTTTTTTGAGTTTAAGTACAATAAATACATCGGCGGATAATCATTCGATCAATTAACTATTATTTATTTCCACAAAAGGAAGTGGGAACACGGGAAGTATCGGTGTCTGAGCTCGTGTATTCGGTATCAGAAATTGACAAGCTCTAACAATGTCCTTGGCAGAATACATCCCCTCTTACTGCCAAACTTGACGCATGACAATGAAAAACAAGAAGAACAATTTTCCTGTGACATTTACCATATTGAATTCTGTAGTGGTTTGGTTGGGCGACGAAAAACAATTGCTGGGAAAGAACACAAATTATTTTTGAAGCTCTTGAATTCTATCGCATTTCACTTGGCAAATTAAGCAATATAATATTTTAACCAATTCTGTGTACGTAAGAATTGCGAGAAAGATGTTTACAGCAATAAGTACCAGACAATATAGGGGCTTCTTCTGGCTGCGAGCTCTTTTTATTGCACGTAAAGCTTAATTCTGGTCTCGTTCAAGCCACATTTGCAATTTTTAAACCGTAAATACCCACGCCTATTTTTTTTTTTTTCAAAATGTGGTGTGGAACTCTTTTTCTAGCTAAGATTTTTTCTACAACTTTCGGTTCGTTTTCACAGTTGTGTGTTCCAAATTTCAATCCTTAATCGTAGAACTTATTGCATTAAAAAAAAAAAAAAACTTTGGGATTGTTTCAAGCGTTTCTCTGCAATTCTGGACCGTCGTGTTCGGGTGTCATTGCTGCATTTGAAATTCTCGAATAAAGATATGAGGCAGTTTTATATTTTTGGTGATATACGACGTAAGTATTCTTCAGAAAAATGACTTATCATATATACAGGTTAATAAAACCTTACCCAGCCTACGTCACCGGTACTGTCAGGTATCGCTTAATACGCTTTTTGACATTCTACGTGAAAAATAAACTGGGAGTTGAAAGTTTGATAAGTTATTAATACTACTAATAATCTTATTAACTCTCGTCATCATGTACTACGTACATGCATATGCGGTGGGGGCTAGGGAAGAAATCCGTTCAAGCAGCTTGACTGGTCCCCAGCCCCCTTACAGGTACACAAGATGCTGAAAAATTCACTAGAGTTTCTATGTGAAGGCTCCTTGATATAAAAAACTTTTCTTTTGTATATAAATTCTAACTCACATATAAAATTGATCTTTATGTAAAATATTCCTTTATATAGATATTCTAATCCATGATCTTACCATGTCGTAAACTTCTACATGCGTGCGGGATTGCGGACTCGTATCTTTTTTAAGCATGGCTCTCGTGCCTGTGATCTTTCCCGCCACCGCATCACGCTCAGGTGTAAATGAGTTGTTGAAAGTTCCTTTTTTGAACAGCGTGTTCTAATTCGGGACTTTACGTCAAGTGACCTCTGGAAAAAAAAAATCAGAGTGTAGTTGTTATTGGGTTGTGTCCCCGATGCCATCGATCCCCACCCCTGTCCGTTTCGATCTGGATGAGCATCGTACCGGCGTGCGGTCGTGTATCACTGCTGCGTGATGCACGTTAAAGACCCCAGGCTAGCGGTTGTAACGCACTGGCTAAATTGCTCATCTACAGCTGGGAGACTCGTCGCCCGTTGAGGCAGACCGAGTTCTAGGCTGTATAAACATACACACAACTCCCGATGCCATCTTGGCGGTGACCGTGCGCTCTCATCTGCAGGGAGAAGCCGTGGAATTGATTGCACAAGGAGTGGCACCGCGCACCGTGCAGCCCACAGAGGGCGCCACTTACGACGCCATGCTCAACAAGCGTGAGCTCTGCAAGGTGAGTGGATATTACTGGCACCCTACAGACTACGAAGACTATAGCTATTTATTAAATCCATAAAAACAATAATTTTAAATTGGCTTTGAAGTTGCTAGACAGTACGTCCAGGAAAATTTTTTTCTTTACAACATAGTGTACAGATTATTTGTATAATATTTACAATATGGCCGGTGTATACTAACTGATTTGACTCAAGCTGTCCAAAATCAATCCGTTAGATATATGCTTTCTAATTACCATCAAACATCCAGCCAAAGCACTATGAAATCAAATCTTTTTCTCCCTCAATTATCAACTCATAGAATAATAGCCCGTCTAAGTTTGTTTCATACAAATTAATTCACTAACGACACGCTGGGTAATAAGCTGATCATACCTATCATTTATATTCCACCTAGACACGACCATCAACAAAAAGCTGGCGTGCCATAGGCTCGCACCAATGTCTTTCACAATTCTTTCATACCATCTAAGAGATCCTGTGACTGGAACCACCTTGCTGGGCCCGTAGTCTCTATTATAAATCATGACCTTTTTAGAAATGCCTTGGAATATATTTTTTTTCTAATCTACACTGATTGTATTTCCGTCTGTGTGTGCCTGTGTTTTCAATAATTCATGCAAACGCTTATCCCTCTCTAATGGTCACACCCTGAGAGTAAAATAAATAGAATAAATAAATAAAAAGTCAATAGTACTGTTTATACAGTGGTTGGTTTTGTTTATTTAACTTCGGACAACAAAGGTCCGTGTTTACATGACACTGCAGGTGATGAAAAATATTTTAAATAGAGATGACATATGCTAGAACTTGCTAGCACAGCGTCTCAGCTGAGGCGCTGTTTCTAGTAATCCGGCCCTGGTTAGATGAGACGAGTACATAAACACAAAATTTCGTTTAGCTTCGGTTAATTATCGCGGAGACATTCTTGACGATTTGTTGTATGAATGGGTACAGCAAAGTGTTGCAAAGATCGTTTCATATTAAAATATGCGTGGGGCGAAAAATAAGCCGAAGGCCCACCTCTCCAAAGCACGCAAAAACAAACATTGATATAATAATGCTTAAGCTCTCGTCAAACTCTGGAGATCGTAGATAATGTTCACAAGTGTCACGCTGTCATGTAACATCGTGACGTCACGTCACGTGGTCACATAACCTGACGTGGCAAACGTCTTCACGGAATGCAGCGAAACAATTTAACTGCTAAATTTATTGGAAAACCTTCCCCGCCAAATTGAGAAGGAATTATTCCTCCTCTAAATTTATTGGCATGTGTTCTCAGTCCGTGATTTTACATATGTCAATCACGTTACATTCGTCTGTGACATTTTAGCCGGTGATTCTTTCCCTAATCATTCCGCGCGACTCCAGCAAAACGGACGCCGCCAAGCGGGAAAACAGGGAACCAGTCGGTCCAGGTCGCTCCGCGCCCCGCCGCGTCTCTGGTGGCTTTCGCGGACACGTGCTGTCACCCTGTCGGCGCGGGGGCGAGCAATCTAATTTGACGAAGGTCCGAAAATTTCTTAAGTTTGCCTCAGTGCTCATTAGTGTGGTGAAGCCTCAGTAGATTGTTTCTTTCCATCACGTGTTTGAAAGCCCGTTTACTCAACACACGGTTGCGTGCTTTCAATTTTTTGGATGGGGAGGAATCACGGAAAAACGTTTTGATTTCTTGTCTTTCTCTAATCACATTCAAAGTGACGACTACTTGGTAACTGATAAGTGGTTTCTTTATAAGGATGTAGAACAGTGGACTGAGGTCGGCAGCCGAAGTGTTTCACTGAAGGGAACACCAATGTTGCAGTCAAGTGAGTAGGAAGGTTCGATAGCTGCTTCCCTTGAGTTTGGTTGTGCTCGATTAGCTTCAAGTTAATTTGAGCCACTAACGCCGGCCGGTGCGTTGGCTATTCACCTTGGCTGCTTTTCGCCGAAAAAGACCACACCGAAGGAGTTGGGCTAATTTCGCAATTACTTGATTCAGAAAACCTGCTCGCTGCATATGATTAATGAGGGAAGTTATCTGCTTTCAAAAGTTGGGGGACGCGTCTCGCTAAGTTAGAAGCTGTCACGTCATTAGGGTCTATCGCGCCCCTCCAATGTTTATATTATAGCCCCTGTCGAAGCCAGCAGCAATATACGTCTACATTGCTCAGGTTGACCGGCCAAAAAAAAATACTAATTTTATCCGTTCAGGATTCGAAGTCAAGTTCAATGCAGAGAGGTCTGACTAAATCTCCGATGAAGACTCTCCTCAGTTTGTCCGCATTCGTCTCCGTTCTACCGGCTAGAACCATTTGACTATGTTTAAGTAGTATCTCTCTGTCTGTCAAATATACTTTTATTCAGCAGTTCACCGAATAGTTAGTCAACTAGGTTCATATTTCAACCCGAAGATTATATTAATATCACTTTAGTGGGACATAGTACGTAATATAATACATAATCCGCATATTCGACAAAATAACCTCGATTGCTACTAAACCCTGAATGGAAATACGAGTTTCAGCTGCTTAGTGAAGCGCCAGCGAGTTAACATGCTCCTTGGCTCAAGAAGCGCTTGCTTAATTTTCGTAATTTTCCTGCAGCCTGTGTTCTTGACCGAGCACACGACTGGAGCTGTTTCTTGAAACGCGGATACGCACAAAATCTCAATTTCGCGGACAGATAAGTCGCATGGTCGAGGCATGCGAGTTATTTAAAAATTACTCTTGGTGGAACAATTTTGTAGCCCTCGCCGCTTTCCTTAGATGATCAGACTAATTAGAGTATATTACCGTTTCTCCGGAGCCCATAGTTTCGGTTTTGAACGAAGTCTCCGAAACGAAAGTTTGACATGAAAAGAACAAAAAACACCGGCAAAACAAAACTATGCTCGGCAAGTTTATGCGCACCGGCTACACTTAACCGTCTCAGTTCACATAGCCATAAAATTGGGCATTAAACAAAAGAAAATCTTTTAAATTGAATGCGCCACCCATTCAGGCGGCCCGGCCGAGCCGATGCGACCTGGACCCAGCCGCCATGCTTGTTTGGTGGTGGCGACCCCTATAGGTCGCTGGAGTCGCGTATAGGTTAGAAGACTAGATATGTAATGCACAATGTATGTAATGCACAATGATCTGCAATACTTGACGCTGTTGCATGAGCTCGGGGTCAATGCCTCTTTGCACTTCGATGGCACAGGTAGTCGCCGGGCACTACTCTGCCGCTCAGGCTTATGCATCGCCCGCCCAAATTCCACCAAACTAATGCGGCGCGCAAGCTTGTCTGCTTCCTGCACAGAGGGTGCATTGGCGCCCGAGCGCCGAGCTGTGATTGGAAGGATAGTGGGTGGACGCAAAAGCTGTTTTTATCTCCACCCACCATCTCCCTCCAGCCAGGGTCTGACGTTCGAACGGCGGCGTCGTTAGCAGGGTGATTTCAGATAAGATCGACCAAAGGATGGCTAGTCGACATTTTCAAATCAACTGATGTTTTTATATGTTATTGTCTAGTGTCTGGTATGAACGAATCCAAACTTAGTTTTGACTAGAAAAAATACTTGGGGACAGGAAAAATCGTAATGCATGAGGTGGTGGACAGTTGCATTAACGCGCACTGATGGAGGGGGCCCGTTTGAGAGTGAATAACTAAAGCGATAACATTAGGAGAACTGTAATACGGTTTAGGCGCAAACTATGGGTATAGCTTGCTTGTAATATAAAGTAATCATATTTATTTAAAATTTATTTATTTTTCTAAAAATTGACAAACATGCCTGCTCGAACGACAGATGGCAAACTTTGGAGGTCTGTATCTCATGAAATAATTTAATCATTATGATATAATTTGCAGATTTCTACTAATATATAGCTAATATTTAAAAAATAACTAAGGTATCTGTGTGATACAATAGTTAGGATATATTTAGTCAAACATGGAAAAAAAAATCAAACAAAGAAAAATTCCGATGCGAATAAAAAAAAACACCACCCTCGATTTATTTTAAATTTAGGTAACCTGTTATACTCTATTTCGGCATTCATTTCCATTAAAAACATGTTGCATCATTTTATTGAGAAACAAGATACAACTCCCCAAAATAGGGTCCTTTTTCAAAGCCTACACTTAGCAGTGTTTTATACAAGAACTGACTCTGAGTTCCAGTTTCATGAAACCAACACACATCTATTATATATTTTTATTCAGATGAGGCCAATGATAACTAAAGAAATCGTTCACACACTTAAATTAAGGAGAAACTACTGTGTACAAAGAGGTATCATATTACGGACTATAGTGATCCGAGAAAAGATCATGCAGCCATCGGCCACTAGGAACTTTGTTTACTTTATTCTCCTGCGACACTATATGCTATTCCCTCTTCCGCTCTACCTTCATCTCTCTCTCTCTCTCATATATATCCCTGATATATATCCAGAACAAAGACATGTTCAAGCATTCCCTTTCTGCGTGGTAGTGTTCTGTGGCTAGCAAAAATCATTTCCTCGCTAAGCTCACGATTATGGCAAAATAGTTGCCGGAAACCGCAGACGACACTCGTCGCTAGTTCTGGCAAAACGGCCGATACAATCTTTTTTTCTCATTTCCCCGCTCGCTGTCAAGGACAAGGGGGTTCGCTTCAACCAGCAAAACATGGCCGCCGACGCCTGTTTACTGAGCAGTCATGCCTGTCGCCATCTCACTCGCTGGCGTCACGGGCGATAATATCAGGCACAAAGGGGCACACCAACCGGCAGCATTATCCCCAAATACTCGAGCCCCGCGTAAATACATAGAGTGTAAACGCTGTCGCCATGTTATCGTAGTAAGACCGCCCCCCCACCCCTCCCCCAACGGGGGACTGCAGTACGCGACGGCGTACTAACACAACGGCGACGATATCGACATCGCGGGCTCCGAATTTCCCATAGTTCTACTCCACGGGCATTTCTCGAAACGCTTGATATTGTGTACGCCCGCCTGGAAGGATTTCAGAAGAAAGCAATTTCAC